ACATTTAGCTTTTCTGGTTCACGTATGGGACAAAGTCCCTTAGTGGAGATAAACCATATCAGTGTAAGCCCAGAAATTTTCCTGCCTCCTTTCCAGGAATAGCTTTGAGTAAGGAGGGTAGGTCCCAGGGGCTTGTGCCCAGTCCTCCTCCCCGTTAGCACCATTTGGTGTCACATAGACGTTCCTGGTCACACAATGGGATGTGGATAGTGTGGCTGCCAGCCTCCTTGCTTCAGCACATACACACTGACTACAGCCAGGTCAGGCTTACGGTTGTCCGATGCTTTCCATGCACTCCTGCAATTTCTTTTATGCTAATAATGCTGTTTCTGGCAGCAAATGGGTTACATACCTGCATCCGCCCTTAGGTTGAAAAGCATCCTTGCTGCTTTGCACTTGACATACTACTCTTCTCCCGCTACCGCGGCTTCCATTGCACGGCAGAGCTCCCCACTGGCACAGAGCCAGTGACCTCTCTGCGTTCTCTCGGGCTTCGGTGTCAGACACCGGAGACTTGTCAGGATCTTGGATGCAGGGAGCAGGACCTCACTACCCCAGCGCTGTGCAGATGAGCCAGTCAGCCCCAGCCAGTGTGCAACAATACTGCCGGCCCCGCTGCCTGTCCCCCTTGTCTTTACTTCTGTCTGCTGATCCTGCCTGGCTCCAATACACCTGCCATTGCCAAGTGGCATCAAGGAGCAAGTGCTGGGGACCATATTATTAATCCTGTGATCTGTCTCTTGATCACCTCAGTGGGAGAAAGGGATGGGGCTCCAGTGACTATGTTAAGTATTTAGCACACTAGCATGAAGCTCGTGGCATTCTTCATGTTTGCATCTCCCTGCAGAGGAGGAAAGGGCAGGGAAGTTCCCAATCCACATCACAGTCACTGAACAGATATGTCTGATTTCTGGGTGTCGAAGCACAGACAGTACCTAAAGGATGTAATGTCTATATGGCACAGTAGTTTAATAAGGAGACTCAAAGCTCACCTATACCACATGTTTTCAGATGAGGATTATTTTTGTCATGATCACTACATTTTCTGCCATCTGACCAAAATCTATCCTGTATGTTATGCCACGGAGGAAAAGAAACCATTGGTGGAGCCAGGTGTTTCTCTGATGTAGACTTGCTTGCCCATAACGTTTTTTCCAGAAGTTGCATGTCATCAGAGCATGTCTTCCACTTTCTGGACTCAGTCCTCTCAGATTTGCTCAAGGCTGCATAGTTTCTTGTTCAGGCTGTGCAGGGCTTAACGATCAGAGTCTGTGCTGCTTCTCAGACTGAGCACACGCGCACTTATGGATATCTATACGCAAGCACCAGGTTCCAAACACACATCACCAGCAAAGGCCCTCTGTTGAAATCCTTCAGATTTCTGCGTGCTTGTGTGCTGGTTCTTCATTTGAGAGGATAATACATATTAGTACTCATATTGTGCTTAAATGAAGTGTGGCCATGAAACAAAGTTCTGCTAAGGTCTTAACCAAGTGAGAAGACAGACTGTGCAAGGACGTGGCACCTGGAGAGTACTGGCAAGGAACGGAGTGTTAAATTTCATGAAGGTGTGCCGGCAGAGTCAAGGAAGCCACCTGAAACTGCATTAAATGAGAAGAGGAATCCCAGTCATCCTCTTTTATCCAACAGCAGGCTAATAAATGAGCATTTACGAACACGAGAGACTCACAACAATGAGGCCTTCCTGACCAGCACATAAATCCCTCCCTCCCCTGTGATCGTAGGCACAACAAGCCCATCCCCGAGTCCTGTGACTTCTATAAAATCTTTATCCAAATGTCAGTAAAGGTGACCTTGTGGCTTTTTAAAGCACTACTTTATAG